AAACTGCAGGAACCCAAATACGTGATACGCCCGTAGTCCAGAAATGTGCAAAACCAGGCTGTCAGTGGTATCAGAGAATGTTACGTGGTGCATGCTGCTAATTCAGTTTTCATCAAATTCCAGCATGTTGCACAGAAAGAGACGTTTGCCTGCAGCTCATGCAGCCTGTCAGTAAAGATGAGCTGATCCAACCTTTCTGCTGTTCTTAAAGTTAACGTGTTTCCTGAAAAGCCTCCAGATCAGCGCGCTGCAGCTCCGCAGCAGGCTCAGTGCTGCAGTGATGGCAACGATGCGATGCCTTAAGTCATTTCAACCTTCTTATCCACCTCCTACTACATCTATTTGCTGCTGACGCACTTTCCTTTGATCGGCGCCACACATGAGTCACGTCGCCGCCTCAGTGCACAGTCCATCTCCAGCCAGGCTCGCGTTACATTTTGATTGTGTTGACGCACAGGCAGCACGCCATGTAACTGCACAACGCAGGGTTTTCTTTTTGCCAAACCTCGTTTGTGCACAGTCATAGCCATGGCGCCATGGCGACCAGAGTTACACAAGGAACCAGCAGGCTGTTCATCAGTGTCACCGTTTGTGCAGAAAGAGCAGAAAATGTTCCTCCTGCCACACATTACGAGTCAGTGAATTCACATTGATATTGTGAGTGTCTGGTAGAGAAACATGCAGTGAATCTTATTTCCTGTGCGTGACCAGCTCCTTACAAGAGGCCAGCATCACTGCGACGTGCACACGCTCAGCTGTGCTGCAGGAGATCTGCTGAGAAACGCCGCCTTCACTTCGTACAAAGGAGAATAAGACGGATCAGCGTTCGTACTTCCTGCTTTGATGTTTGTTCACGTTGGGGCGAAGGCGGTGTCCACATGATGATTCGTTGAATCGTTCGTAGAATTAAACCCGACTGCGATACGTTCTTGGCTTTGTGTGCTTCCCTCTCTGATGCGTTGCCTGTTTGCTTGTTGCAGACATCATTGTTTCAGTGTTTGTTATCACACTGCGTGCTAAATCACTTTTTGCTTTCAGGCCATGAAGCTGGTGTCCAAGAAGAAGTTGATGAAGCAGTGCGGGTTTCCTCGTGAGTTCTGCTTTTTCTCTTTTCATTCTGTTCACCAGCAAAGCTGAAGAGCATCAGCCTGGATTCAAAGAGAAAACAGAGTAAGCAAGAAATCCCAAAAGCAACCCGTTTTCTGTACGGCCACTTCAGCAGGTCCAGGATTGACCCCTTTAGTCTTCAGAACTTTAATCCTTCAAAGCGTTGCGCTGGCATTTGGTCCGTATTGAAACGACGTCCCAAAGTTGCTCTGTTGGATAGAAGTGCGGTGACTGGAGGACATTTGAGTAAGAAACTGTTACGCTCAAGAAACTAGTTTGAGATGATTTGAGTTTGACCTGCTGTCAGCAGCTGTGATCATGAAGCTCAGCACCATCAGCAGCTCGAACCTCTGATTAAAAAGGCAGGATCCGTGTTTTATGTTCACGCCAGATACCGTCTGAATATCAGAGCAGAAGTCTGATCAGAGCAAATCTAAGCCCCTGTTGTCTTGCGGTGCTTCAAAGATCAACAGGCTGCATGCCTCGGTTACCTTCTCTGTAAACCCTACAGGTGGTTGTCCAATAAAGATCTGAGCAGTAGCAGTTTCTGGCACGACAACGTTTAAAGTCACTTAAATCGCCTTCCTTCCCCATCCTGATGCTCCGTTTGAGCTTCAGCAGCGTCGTCTGGATCTCGTGCCTGCGTGCGCCAAATTCTGCTGATCCAAGGTTTCTATAAAGGAGGTCAAACAGTCAGAGCGCAGAGCTTTAGGTTGTCCTGAGTGAAATAAGCTGACAGGCTGCAGAGTGATGTGTATGGAATTACACGGCTTTTAATGCAGCCACAGACAAAAAGCACCAGATGCATTCATAGATTCACCAACATGATGGGCAGAGGGAGATTAGTGCTGACATGTGATTAGCACCAACATGTTTTTAGCACTAATTCATTTTGGTTGATTGTTTACTTTTTTAAAAAGGACACCAAACATGAGGGGATCGGGGATCGCATGAATGATTTAACGGCCGTGTGTGCGGTTTGTGTTGTGGTGTGCAGGTCGCCCACCCCCAAGAGGACCAAAGGCGGCCCAGGGGGAGCAGCCCAAACTCTTAGGACCCCTGGAAAGAGTCTACCAAGAGATCGCCATACTTAAAAAACTGGACCATGTCAACATCGTCAAGCTGGTGGAGGTGAGGGGTTACTGAGCAGGAACTGTGGGTGCACTTCAGAGGTGAAGCCACGCAGTCGATTCACTGCTGTTTGACTCCGGGACGCATTAATGCTGCCAATTAGTCAAATGGTAGCATTTTCCAGCTTTTAGCAGCAGCGGCGAGTGAAACGTCACGGCGTCATCAGGACTTATCATGTAAAGCTGGGTCCAAAGAAGGAGCATTTTGAACTGTAAAAAATGGTAAATGTAATGTCATAGTCATTGCTCTCTGTTGAAGACTGCATCATACACTTGTTTATAAATGTAAAATCCTCTTTAGTGTAAAAAAAGTCTTTTTAGATTAATCCTTGGGCTTGAGCGTCTGTAGCAGATTTAAGCGGTGCTGGGTTTGACCCAGTGCAGCCTGCCTCAACAACTGTGCTCGATTGACTGCAGGTAAAATAATAAAAAGTTGTAATTTACTGTGAATTTCTTGACTTTTTGTATTAAAAACCAAAATATTAGAAACTAAAAGTAAGACGACACAAAAGCAGCTACGATGGGCGCTGACTGTGCAGAGGAGGAACAAAATCAAGAAATCGATCGTTTGCTAAAGGAAAAGATGATGATGCGCTGCTGGCATCATCACTGTCAGCGTGCACGCGTGCGCTCATTAGCACTTAGCTGAAAGCTACTTCCTGTAAAGCCTAGCATGGCTCTGCTTCTTACAGGAAGTGCTGGTCCCGAGTCACACGCCTCTGCTTCTGTTGATGTTTGTAGGCGACTGAAAAACGGCGCAGTGGGGACGCACGGCACTTTGTGTTTCTGATAATAGCAGGTGGACTTCCACCCACAGCAGGTGTGGATCCTCTGCCACGCTGTCCTCTGATAACCTTTCTCCCCGTGTGCCTCGACTCGTCTTTGTGTTGTATCAGAGCGTGTCGGGCCTGAAAGGTGGATAAAGCCTGTGCTGCCAGGAAGTAGCTGGTATGAGTTTCCTGCAGCACAGTGATCACAGTCTCAGTGAGTTGGGATCATACTCCAGAAAAAACAAAACATCCGTGCTCTAAACACGGATTCTTGTTTTTCACCTGCGTGGGGCCGTTTCCCTGCAGAATCGGTAGTTTTGGTAAAATGATGGTTGACTCAGGCCACGCCCCTCTGATCAGGCCCCTCCCCTCTGATGTCAGCAGTTTGGTTTGTCAGCCCAGGTGATGGTGGGGGCGCCGCAGCCACCGCTCGGAGTAAAGCTTGGTGTCTGTGTCTGTGTGTGTGTGTGTGTGTGCCAGAAATAGAGTTTAAGTAAAAGTTCTTCTTCGTCTCTCGTGGTAACAGGATGTCCTGCTCTCTCTCTCTCATCATGTAAACGCTGAGCTCGGCCTCACAGCTCTGCTCTCTCCAATCATGAAAAGACTTGTTGGCTCGTTTCGAGGCCACGCTGAGCAGAACAGATGAGCAATGATGGAAACGACGCGGTCGTTTGTCACAGAGGCTGAAACAGAGTCAGACTGAACCCATGAAATCAGACATTTTTATTAAAACACTCGGTTCATGTCATTTCCACAAAGGTTCCTCCACCAATCAGCAACTTCCGATGAAAAGACCGAGCTTCTCTTTAATTAGGAACATGCTGTGAATGCTGCATGTAAAGGGAAACGAGCAGTGTTACGTTTGTGCCAGCAAACAGTGACTGACGTGAGGAAAAGGCCTTCCTGTTTCTGTCCTGCACTTGTTGTGACACTAGATGCCATGGCGACCTTTCACCTTTAGTTTTTGTCCAATTCAATTTAAAGCAGATAAAATTAGTGTTGAACGCAGTTTTTCCTCCCTGATGTCACCAAGTGTTTGCTTATGATTGTTGAGGTTTTCTCAGTTATTGTTGTAAAGTCTTTACTTTACAACACAAAGCAGCTCGAGCTGAGTGTTGTTGTGACTCGCGGCTGCAGGTAAGTGCTGAACACCTCAAAGTGCCACTGACATGACATTCTTCCCACGTGTCAGCAGCAACATATCCACAGATATCCATAAATCATGTGTAATAATGAGAAAAGTATTGAACACGCTTGCTGACATGTATTCTTGGTATGGAGGAAGTCGTCGCGTGCATTACTGATTGGCTGGGCCGTCGCTGTCCTTCCCTGGAACGCACTGAGAGTTTCTTTGGTTTTGTGTTTGACGTCATTGTCTCGCTGAAATGTCCAGCCCTCATCTCTTCTTCACAGGCTGCAGCTTTACAAGAAAGTCTCGCTACATGTTTCCAATCACCTTTCTTCAGTTACAGAAATCGTGCCAGAGCCACATGACAGCCGTCGCCATGATGGTTCCACCTCCAAACGCCACTGTTGCTGTTTGAGTCTGCAGTAGCTGTTTCCCTGTTTGTTCAGGAAGTGTTGAACGTGCTTCAGCGTGCTTCCTCTTGTGTGGCGAGCGTACAGGTCACAGGGGCTGAGCGCATTACTCATCGTTTCCTTTGCAGCAGCTGAACTTACTGATCAGGTCTTCCTGTAGCTCTGCACAGGTGCTCCTTCTCACCTGGACACTTGCTGACTGCAACCTTCATCAGTGTGTTTCAACAATAAGGCTGCAAAGGAGACCTCGTCGGTTTGACCCATCATGACGTGTCTTATGGGACGCCTTGATAATAACGCAGCTTTTTATACGCCGTCGTTGGGACTGAACCGGCTGATATTAATTCCCACCGCGTGGCAGGACGCCCTGTGATTACTGATTTCAGCTGGTGGCGTTTCTCAGTGTTCCACTCGTTGGACGTGTGGATCTGTTGTTAGCGACGTCTGCTGAGAGTTTCATGTCAGTAACACTATTAGGTTTACTTGGTCAGGCGTTCAGTACTTACTTACCCGCTGTGTAAAGCACCAAATCAGTCGCAGGTTGCCTGGGGGGGGGGCAGACACACGGGACAAAAAGGTGAACCAAGAACTTGTGGATGTTTAAACACAGACTGCAGCTCTGCTTGTTTTCATGGTCGAGTCTGGATCGTGAGAATCTCCATCCTCGCTGTGTCAGCTGTTGGATTTCTTCTCCACTAAAGTTTAACATTAACATCGAGCTCACGAGACATGATTTAATCAGTACTGATGCAAGCCTTCCTCTTTCTTCCTGCTGCTGCTTCCAGCCTGATGGACATTTTGGTCGCAGTGAGGAACTAACGACTGTGCGGCTGTTTAAAGTGTCCCAGTTTGCCATTATATTGAAGTAGTGCAAACAGAAGGACTTCTGTAAGAGGAAAGCAGGCACCATTAATAAACCTTTGCCTGCTGTGACAAGTCAACATGAAAAATGTCTGTTAGCTGCAATAAAAGAGCATTAGCAGCAGCTAATGTAAGCTCAAGCTGCTAGCTGTGAGCAGAGAGGGCTACTGAAGTCCTCCAGCTGTTTATTTCCCCTCCGTCAACACTGAATAATGTCACTGTTTGTATTATTTGTAGTCTCCTCTGTCAGATCTGCACATAGAGGACGTCTCTTTACTGGGAATTGGTTGCATCCGTATAGAAAGAGCTGCGCGGGTTCATTGCAGCATGTTGTCAAATATCTCAGAGTTCAAAGGTTACAGACGCACAAAAATCCCCCAAATCTGTAAACAGATTGATTTAGTTGTTGTTGCTTCGGCCGCGTTGTTGTGATGGTTGTGCTTCTGAATGATGACATGTCAACATAGACCTGTGTGATCACCCTGCTGATGCCTCAGCGATAACACAACGCTACGATCGACAGATGAGGGGGGGCTGTGGCTCCTTTAATTCTTCACACTTTCTATAATTTATTTATTGTTAGAGACGTTGACCTTTCGTGCTTCCACAGGACTTTATTTCACGACGCTGCTGGGTTTCTTTTTGGCCTGACCTTTCTGTTTTTAAGGTCCAGCAGGGGGGAGTGCACCTGATCTCCATCCTCGTGCCTCTGAAGCAGCACTGCTGCCCCCACTGAGCTCTCGTTGTGTTGCTAATAGAGTCAGTCAGTAATGTAAGAGCAGGACTGTGAAAGCTGTGGTGAAACATCTGGACGACTTTAAGTTTGTTGAAGACGTTTCATCCGAGAAGCTTCTTCAGCTCCACTGATGAGCAGCTGGTGGAAAGTCCCAGATAAACCCTGTGGGAGTGCCCCCCCCCCAGAGGGTCACAGACCCCCTATTGATCCTCTACGTAATCACACGAGCCGAGGTGTGAAACAGGTGTGGGTCACAATCAGCCACGGTTTCGGCGCTGGCTTACAACACCAACTCTCAACATCCTGGGCCTTCTGACCTCAGCGAATCACGTGACAGGGCGGGGCCAGGCTGGCTGATTGTGTGAAGTGGAAGCATGTCAGAGTTTTGTTGTTTTTGTGCGAATAGTTTAAAAAACATCATCCTTCACGTGTCGTTCTAGAACATGGACGAACCTCAGCTTTGTTTCTCCCACTCATCATCATCATCATCATCTTTGAGCTCATCTGACATTTTGAAGCTGGATTAGTTTTCAGAGGTACCCGCTGTACCTGAGCTGTCACAGCTCAACCTTAAAGCACTTCTGTTTAAAAAGGCTGCACGGAGCATTGTTCCAAATTATCATGAGAATAGTCAAATAAAGCTTTTGCAGCGATGGCGGCCTCCGCCTGCGTTAACGCGTCCGTCCTGTTGTTCAGTAAAGGTGTAGCAGCTGGTCAGTCAGCCTGTGTACCTGGTCAAGTGTCGACTGCAGAGAGATCATTTCTGTGCACATGACGCTGTTTTAAATGATAACTCTCATCCTGACTGTCGAGCTCCAGGAAGCTTTCATCAGCAGACGAGTCGTGCAGTGAGTCAGTGAACGCTGTCAGCTCTTAAATGAAAGCACTGAATGTTTTATGTTGCTCACCATCAGCTTTACAGAAAGTTTTGACTGGAAATTCTCCATTTCTGACTGTATGACTGTGTTTTAATGCTGCAGGTGCTGGACGATCCGTCGGAGGACAACCTTCACATGGGTATGCACGTCTTTGTTTTATGTGTCCACATACTTTTGCTCTGTTTGCCCTGTGTCTGTAAGCCTGTGGCGTTCGATGCATATGTACGTGTTATTTATTCAGAGATGGTCGTTTGCCTCCAGACCTGCTTGGGGCTGGCGCGTTATGCAGAAGCTCTCCGTCAGCAGCGCCACAGTCAGGCTGCAGAGTAACGCGCAGCCTGGTGGTTAAAAACAAAAGCATGAAATCTTTGGTCTCACGTGTTCGTGTTTCCTTCTCTCTCTGTTTCTGACAGTGTTTGAGCTGATGCGTAAGGGGTGAGTAGAGAACCCGTCCTTTTGTCTCTAAATAATTTAAGGCTCACCCACCTCCTCCTCCTCATCTCTCCCCCCTCCATCCCTGCTCGATCACTGCTGCGCTCTTCTTTCATTGCTCTGAGCCGTGCGGCCGTTTGTTCCACCTCCGGCTTCAAAGGGATTCGTCGTTTTCTTGGGTTTTCAGTTCTTGGCGCTGAAAGCGTTTCACATCCTCATGCATGAGCCGCTCCTTCCCACAGTGCTACAGACATTATGATGCACAACCTGCTGCTGTTATAACCAAATTTTGAAGGGGACGGCTGGTATCATCCACATGTATGCGTAACTTACATTATCCTTTTCATATGAAGCTGTTTTAAAGAATGGATTTGCTCGCTTACTCTTAGTCGGCTGCTGTTATTAGGGGTGAGGGAAAAATGGATACTGTGTAGCATGGTGATATTTTGTTTGCTAATAATGTATGGATACAGGGACAGCA